TTTTACTATGAGCAGTGCATACAGTTTTTTTGTTTGTTTTGGTTGACTACTATTTTGATTAGACCTGTTAATGTTTATAGCTTTTCAAGTCAGGAAGTTTTTTTTTTCTATCAACATTATAACACATGGAAGTAATTGACTGCACAGCTCAACAGTGTTTAAACTTGCTTAACTTTTTTACTTTATACAAGTGTTATTTGTCTGAGACAAAAAAAGGTACAACATATTCTGGAAATTGAGAGCTAGACTTGTAACTCTTTCTGGAAAAAATTTATAGTGAATGATGAGAGATTATTATAGAAATAAAGTTTTGATATAATTGCTTTCACAATTGATTTCCAGGACTTAATTGCTGAATTTATGCTTGTATTAATCTACTTTCAAACAGAATGTTCAGTGCAGTACTTGCACGAGTCACTGTTTCAGAAGTCAAACAAAAACTGCTTCTGGGCAGTTTTAGTATATCTTTTACTACTGTACATATAGTTCATTATTTAAGGGGCACATTCACTGGCCAAGTAGATACTCACAGTGTTAGAATATTTCATGTGCATGAATGGGCCATATGAAAATTTTGAATTTTTCATCAAATTTCATGTGTATCTGCCACTTTAAGCTGTTTTTATGTAACACAAAAGAAATAGATAATGTATTTGGGTCTTTCCATGTCAACTCCAAAATATTTTGGAATGTGTTTCAGCTTCATTCTTTTAGACTTAGTTTAAATATGGTAGGAACATTCTACTTTTATACCTGAACAAGCACCCAGAATTTTAGATAAATATCTTAAATTCTAACAATACGGCCTTCCATATTTGGGGAGGGGCAATATAATTTTGCAATATATTTCCCATGTTTAAGCAGGTTTTTTCTTTTATGAAATATTTTACCTATCTGGCTAAATTCTTCTTACTTGCATGATATGACCAATGTTCCTAATTCTGAAATAATTTTACAGTTCAGATTAAATGTGTCTACACGGCGACTTGTGAAGCAGAAATTATTTGATCCACTCCTGTTAATATATATATATATATACAAATTTTGTATTACTAGTTTTTATATTCCACATGTATATTGTCACAGTATCTTGTTAATTATGCTCATAGTAAAGTTTTACCTTTGGGCTGATGTACCTTTGTTAATGTATGAAGTATCAGTCTTAAATTTTGCTTAGTTGTTCCTATTTGCAACCCTCTAAATACACATAGGCACCAAAATATTTTAAATGAACATATTAAAGTATTGCAAATTGTGCCTGACTGTTTTGTTCAGTTGACCAGTGTTTGTTTGTATGATTCATGCATGGCTTAAAAGATATAATATCAGCATCTTGAAATGGCTAGCCCACACCCTTAACCCTTTCACTTTGGGTAGATCAAAGTATGTATGTCACAACCTTTTACAGAGTTACATTCAATTTATTTCAACTACTTTATTATCAATGTATATGAATAAACTTTGTATCCAAATGTAGCTAATGTATCAATTTTTAATATTATATAAGTTTTAAGTTCTTAATTTTATAAGGACCTATTACAAAAAATTCTCAATCTCCCCTTGTATGAAAATTATGACTTTTCTCTCTAGGTATTATCACATAGATAGAAAGTCTGAAAAATTATGAGTTATAGGACATTGTTTGCTTTTCACATGTTATTATTCTGTGTTTTTATGTGCAGTATTCAATTAAATGAAAAATTGTTCAGTGTGGTAGTACCATTAGTATAAAAGAGTAAGCTTAAGTTTCATCGATAATTAACAGCAAAGAAAAAGACCCAGGTAAGTACTATATTTCTTGTTCTCCATATATGTTCTTTATCATTGTTAAAGTAACTAAAATGTAAAACTTAGAAACTAGGTAGGTTAGATTAGGTAAGATGAATAATAATAATTATTCACGAGGTATGCTCGAGAGCAACTTGTTCATTACATAATGTGATAGGGTAACATCAGCTACAGAGCTACACGTTCACTGAGTGATTTACAGCTTGTGTGGCAGGATTATTAGTTAGACAATTAAACAATAAAATTAAGTATAAAACAATGTATACTGTTACAAGATGTACCGTGCTTAGGATAAACAATTGTGGTTTCCTGTTACAATTTGCAGTAACTCTGGAAAGAAAAAAAGGGTAACTTAGAATTATTTCCTAATTTTTTTATGGTGGTTATGAGGTCAGTCAAATTGACTGACCCTGTATAGAGTTATTGTATAGAAAATAACAGATAAAAGGTTTTCTGAGGAAAAAACATTTGATATTTATTTTAGAGGTTTCAGGGATAATTTAAATGAAATTTGAAATTTTTCACTTGAAGAAAAGTATTTTAATCTTAACGTGAAAAATCACTTTACACTAAGAGCAGTCAACATTCTGATACCAAATAATTACAAACAAAGTTTTAGTAAAACTATTTAATTTAAAATTCAGATTTTTTGTCCATAAAAAAAACTTAATATTTAGTGAATTTGTCCAATTTGTGAAGATACATTTATTACTTTCAGAGTTATAGTATATAACCATGGTGGTTACAAGGTTGTGTAAAATACACAAACCTGTTGCAATAGGGTTATTCTTAACACAACAGAACATCATTAGGATCCACTAGAGGGATTAATTTGAAAGGTTAGAACACTGTTTTTCAGTCATAATCAACCAGTAGATCTTTTGAAATAATATCAGAGATAAGTTGTACAACATATTCATATAAGCTTTGTTGAGATCATGTTTTGGGGAATGGCAGTACTAATTTGGCTAAAAGTGGTGTTTCTCTGTGTCAGGACTTTAAACTAGCACCCCTAATCCGTGACTATATGTTTGGATACCTGTGGCAGGGTAGTGTGTAATATAGGATATTAATGATGTTTGAAATTAATCAGTTGAGTTGCAGTAATAAACACTAATTTTCTTGAATAGGATTGGCAATTTGAAGATGGGACTCCTCCTCCAGCAGACATTGTGGATGGTTGGTTCAATCTTCTTCGAACTAGGTTCAGGGAAAATCCAGAGAGTTGTGTAGCAGTTCATTGTGTTGCAGGGCTTGGCAGGTTTGTCTTTTGGTTTTGCTATATGTAATTGTATAGGGTTTTATTTCAAATGTTGTATAACTATTTTTTGCAACCAAAACCTTAAGGAAGTAAAAAATAACAAGAGATGAATCTATAATATTTTGACCATTTCTAGCCTGGGGCATTAATGCATTTGCAATCATAAAAATTAACAAGTCATATATGTCACCATATCTAAAACAGACACTTCAGAAACAAAGGATGGCAACCGTTTAACATTTCTGAACTTTTTTTTTTGGTAAATTTAAGAATTTGAATGAACTCCATAGTTACAAATTACCAGTGGAAAATGTTGTGTTTCAAAAGGGAGACATTGCCAAAATAATTAAACAAGTATGGGAATCAGCAAAATTAATTTATTAACCCTCTTTCTATGGGCATCCTTTTGTGTGCATGTTACGAGGTTTTATTGAGTTACATTAAAAATTAGTTAAAGTACTTAATTATAATGGTATTTGAATAAACTTGGCATCAATGTAGCTGATAATCCAAATTTTAATGTTATATAAGTTTTAAGTTCTTAATTTTATAAGACAATATTAAAATAAAACTCCAGTTTCTCATGGTATGAGAATTGTGACATTTGCTCTCTAGGTATTTCCTTCTATCTCTCTTACCTGTATATTATGATGATTACTGGTTGCTTTATTCTGTTGGCTACATTCTGTCTCACCTCCATATTGATCAATGTCTTTCTTGTCCTCCTCACTATAATGATTCTTCTGCTGCAGTCTAAGGTTATGATCCATCTATATTTATTGAACCCCAATATCTGTGTCCCTTCTGTCTGCTTGGGGTATTCCACTTTCTCCTCTAACTTTCTTACTACAATCTGCTTAACTTCATCTTATCTTTACTCCTTTGCTTTATCTCCACCCTCTTATCTCCTCACTGTGGCTCTTCATTGTGACCCCGAAAGTTTTGTTGGGGTCACCCGTTCTTATTTGTTTGTCCCTTTGGCTTCTATTTCTTTCTCTACTGTTTTTATTTAACTTAGTTTCTCTGTTTTGGAGATGTCCTCAGTCCTTTCCTTTAGGGTGTCCACTTCCCTTCCTTCTCTCTCTTTGACTTAAGTCTTGCCCATTGTCTCACTACATCAACTTTTAGGGTTTTTCCTATTCTTTGGAATCTCATACTGGGGCTGTCCACCAACAATCTTCCTCTGATTTCCTGACTGACTAGACCATGGATACCTTGTTTGTTACCTGATCTCAGGAGTCATTGGAAATATCCCCTCTCCTGTTCCTCATCCTATCACTTCTGCTTGTCGTTCTCCTGCCCATTGGATGGGCTGTCGAGACTCTCAACTATAACTTTACCTTGGAGGCATTTCTTGGCTGTGGAACCTTTGGTGCTCACCTTTTGGAGTCTCATGTCATGCACATTTAGTCTCCCTTCACTGGTGACCTTTGGATTGTGCTTGCTTTATGTATTTTATCTTCTCTTTCTCTTTGTCCTCTCATCTATTCTCTTCCATCTGATTCTCTGCATCTTTGACATCTTTCTGGTAGTTTTCTTGATTCTCATACAGGATGAGTTCAACCATCTCCCTTGCTTCTTTGTGCCACAGAGATCTTGATATTGATGGCTCTTCACTCTCCTTCCTGTGTGAAAGGTTCCCTTGCTTTTGGGGACTCGGGCTTATCTTTATACATGCATCTCTTTCAGTGGGTTTGGGGAATCTGTGGCATATGTGCAATCCTTTATCTGCCCTTCTGCCTCTCCATTCATCTTTCCATCCCTCTGTATGGTGGTTCAATCACTCCAACAAAACCTGGAGTATCTTCCTCCTCTCCACTCAACCTGCTTCTTTCTTTTGATGCCTTCCTTTCTGATTGGGAGGGTTCTTGACAACACTCTCACTCTTTCTGGAGTCTGGTCTCCAGAGGAGCAACCCCTGCTTCTTAACATTCTGATGATGTCTGTAACTTTTAGGTATGCTAGTATCTTTAGTTAACATGGTAGGGACATCTCGTTATGACCCATTCCTATACTTATATGGTCATTTCTTACATCAACTGCCAGAAAGCTACCCACTTTCAGGACCTATGCTTTACCCAGATTTTTGATGAAGACCCATCGATTTCAGTGATTGCCAGTTACTGAGTGACATTAACCCCATCTTTCACCTGTTGCACAGTACTTTTCCCTTTCTTTCACTGGTTGAATTTTTCAGCTCATCTCGCTGTCATATTCTTCTTTGGGTGAGTCCAACCAAATGGTTTTAACATCATCTTTAGCATATCCTAGCCTTTCTTGCCTCCTTTCCATGTCAACCATTAGAGATCTTGCAGACTTCTATGTGGACTACATCTAACACGTTCACCTCCCATGACTTTCCTTAACTGGCCAATTTCTTGTGCTTCTGGTTTTCACCTCATTCAGGTTTCCATTCTCTGGTCTTTCCAGGTGAGAGCATTTAATCGTGAATTTACAAAGTCTTTGCAAGGTGATTTTCATGTTAAGAATGGAAATATTTATTCATATTCAGTTTTCATATTTTATCTGCATAATCCCTAGAACCTCCTAAGTGAATATCAATTTTTTTTCAGTGAAACTTTATATATTATTTGTTATTTTCTCTACCCTAACATTGTTAAGAGTTGGTTCATTTGACCAACCTTGTAACAACCACATAATAATATGAAAAAAATTGAAATTACCATTTTTTCTTTCCAGTATGACTGCATATTGTAATGGACAATTACAGTTATTTATCCTAAAATTTTCAGTCCTCCAATCTTTTCACAACTACTTTCATTTAATTTTGCTTTATTGGTCTTTGAACCATTTCTAATTATTAAACTAGGTGAAACAAAGCAATAAATACCCTGCAAAAGCATAGTACAAGTTATAGTAAACAAGGTATTGAATTACATCTTGCACAAGCAGCTCAAGTGTATTCTTGTGGAGAATTTTTGTATTTAATTTCTTCATTTTACTTATCTAACCTAACGAGTTTCTATTTTCTTTACATTTTAGTTACTTTTATAATAGTAAATAAAAAAGATATACATTCAAAACAAGCACTTTTAGATTGAATTAACATTACTGTGAGATTAAATTGTATTTGGAAAAAATAGTGCACTGAACTTTAAATTAATATAGTAATCTATCCATACAGTATTTTAATACTGGTATTGAGGTTCATATAGTTTTATTCTATTTTATTTTCAAAGTTGTAAAAGCTAGTAAGTTAACATAAGTACCACTTTTAAGTTTTTAAAAACTGTGGGTAGAACTTGCTAAGTCATATGTGATAGAAATGATGTTATCATCCTTTGGTTATACATTTAGGAGTAATAATATATTGAACAAAAGTTTATTCTTTTTCAGTAAATACTGATTATGTACTGTATTACACAATCTATGATTTATGTGTGAAAAATATCAAGAAATCTTATTATCAGTAGGAAATCATAAACCACTGGCTTGGATGTTTGCTTTGCAAATTAAGTCTCATTGTCTTTGATAACATTCTTATAAATTGAAACTTTGTTGTTTATCTTTTGTGATTGTTATATATTTTAGTTAGATTTAATGACTTTTAGCACCAGTCTGTAAATTTTGTTTAGTGTATTTTAACTGAGATTTCAGTTTTATAGGTTTGTTTTCACAAACTGTGCTAACTTAGACAAAGAATTATTGTTGATAAGCCACCTTTAGTTGTTATTTTTTTATGATTTCTTTATTTTGAATTAAGCTTGGCTAGCCTTATCAAGCTGTATTTAATAAATTTGGACTTATTAGTTGATTATATCTACAGTTGGTATTTTTTTTTTGTAGTTTTTTCATGTATGTAATAGGTTTCATCTCATATATACCTCTTTTCAAAGTAATTAAGAAAAACACAAAAGGATTTTGTGATCTACTACAAAAAATAGGTATTGGTAGTTTGTTATTGCATTTTTTTTATGCATCAAGTAATGTTTTGGAGGTGTTACATGACACTAAGTAAATGCAGTATTTGTGTGATGATTGAAATATGATTTTATAAAGGTGATATGACACTTAAATATGATCTCTGTTAAAAAAATCAGTGACATAATCATAGTGCTGCATGTTTAAAAGTAGGTGTTTTTTGGCAAGTGTTTGAAAAAGTTTTATAATGATGTATAATATGTACATTATAGGGCGCCAGTGCTTGTGGCTTTAGCACTAATTGAATTGGGAATGAAGTATGAAGATGCTGTGGAGCTTATTAGACAGTAAGTCTGCATTAATTGCATATAAAATGTTATTACAGTTGCAGACAAAAGTATTTGGGCATTTAAGAAAATGAAAAACAACAAAGTAATTTCTATCATCTTTACTTGTTTTTATTAAAAAATATACATTGAAGTAGAAATTCAGCTTTATGATAAAACAAATTATTAAATAACATGCATAAAATGAAAAACAACATGCAAAAAATAATTTCGTACTTTGACAAAAGTATCTAGATACTCTTACTATGGTATTTTGTGTGCCCACCTTTGCTTCATTTCCAGATTGTTCTCTTTTTGTATTTTTCAACCAGTTCCTGGCATTTTTTTTAGAGATATTTTTTCTCATTCTTCAACATATACAGACTTAAGTTGTGCAGTCGACTTTGGTTTTCTTCTTGATACAGCCCCTTTCACATTAGTCCACAACATCTCAATGGAATTCAAGTCTGGGGACTGAGATGGACAATCCATAACTGTAATCTTCCTATCCTCCTTTTTATTTTTATTTTTTTCAGAAATTCATTTATAAACTTTGTAGAATGGTTAGGGTCGTTTCATCCAATAAGTCTTCTAGTGCTGGGTAACAAATGAGAGTGCAAAATATCTTGATTTTTGCAGCATTCATTAATCCTTTTACAATACAAAGGTTTTCTGCCTGAGAAAGAAAAATAAGCCCATACCATCACACAATCTCCATCATTTTTACACTATACTCTTTTGTTTTAAACATTTTTAAATTTCTCTTTTATTTAATCACAAATTTCCAATTTATTTTTCAGCACTTAATGATTATTTACTTGTCTTTTTTTTTACATTTATCATCAGGTGTTGGTTTTCAATCCGGATAATCTTCAGTAGTTAGTAACAACTGGGTTTGATAAGAAACATGTTGTGTGTCAAATACTTTTGTCAAAGCATGAAAGCAGTTTTTGCATGTTTTTTTTACATTTTATTTTATGCATGCATTGTAATAATTTGTTGTTTTCATACAAAACTGAATCTACTTAATGTATATTTTTCAATAGAACAATTAATGATGTTAGAAATTACTTTTTTTTTAATTGCCCAAATACATTTGTTTGTAACTGTATATTAAGGGTTAGCACTGGTTAAGTTGAGAATGAAGAAAATGCCATGGAACTTACTAGACAGTAAGTCTGCATTAATGATATATATCTATATATAATATTGTTATATTCGGGATTATCACTAGAGCTGGGTTATTTAATAGATTACCTGTGAGCAGCAATTACATTGATTAGTGTCATGTAAACTAGTTGATTAACCAAAATTATGATCAAATTGATTATTGAAATTAGTGTGCCCAATTATTACAATTTTTGGTTATTCCATGTATCCAAGTGATTGAAATATTTCCACCTAACTTGTTTGCCCTGATTTTGTTATTACAAAACTAATTAGGCTATCTGCCTCTGTTGCTAATGTTTATCTAGTGACTAAAGTAAAGGTAACTGGCTGGCTGCAACCTCTGCTAACTTTTTAAAAATGTTTTTGTATATCATGTAGTTGGAGGAACACTGTACTAATTGATTAATAGGGTTATTGATTAGCAAATACCACTAATTGCCTATGACTAATTAGCAATGACTTTATTGGGAAGTATGATGATACCAAGGGACTTGTTAGATAGTAAGTATGCATTAATTACAAACATGTTATATTTGGGGCTAAAGTGGATCATATCCTATTCCTAACAATTTTCCTCTTATATCTTGGACATTTTCTACAAGCCTCACTGATTGAGAATAGCTCTGTGTCATTTTGGTTGTATTTAACCTATATAAACAGCTTTCATCTCATCCGTGTTTTATGTAAATCTGAATATGTAACTTGCTCTTTACAGAAAATTATTTTCATTATTTTTTAAATATTCAATGACACTAGTGAAGATTTAGGAATTTTTTATTTCAGACATGTACCTAGGCTACTAACATCCCAATGTAATCTAACTTGTAAATTTGATTACTAAGGTAAATTTTCCTATTTTGACTTGGAAATTGAAAAGAACTGGACAAAATTTGTCTGAGAGAAATATTTTATGTGTTGAGTCATTGTCTCCAAAGAGCTAAAGAATTTTTACAAATAGTAGTGAAGAACATGTTTTTGAGTTATAGAAATACAAATGCATATGTTGAATGGATTATTCCACAAATATTTGGGCTCCAGAATTTGCATGATACAATATTTCAATACTTGTAGAAAATCTTACTATTACACACACACACACACACACACACACACACACACACACACACACACACACACACACACACACACACACACACACACACAC